GGCAATACCAGGAAGTTTTGTTGAATAAAAGGAAAGAAAACAATAAAAATAAATAAACATAACGAAACTGAAACACTATAGAGGTCTCAAAGGCGTGTTCAAAATGTACAGCAAGTAAACCACCCATTATAACTTGTAGTCTTCTATTATAACACTACTCAGTTTCCGTCTGTCCTGAAAATGCACGCGCTCCTTATTATATAAATGCGCATGAGCGCACTCGTCATTTCAACGGATGTAAAAAGAAAAAAAAAGGCGGATGTAAATATATTTTCGTAGACATTTTGTACAACAACATATTCAAAACTTATCAAAGTTTATATATTAAGTACGGTAAAGTTTAGCCCTAACTAAACTAAAGTAAAATGTACGCAAGTTACGGTGTTAATTTATCTCTTTATCGAATATAGGCTGAACTTAATAAAGGCTTAACTAATGTTAGGCCTAATACAAGTGGACCTATAGATTTCGGTATCTGCGATTATAATTATTTTGTATTATTCTAGAAATCCTGTATTTAAAGAAGTATTGTTGTAATAAAGATACTAATTTGACCGCAAATGTTTTGCGGATCTCTGCTGGTATTTATTGAAATAGGTTATTCAGTATACGTACTGTTACGACAGCGGAGGTCACGTGACGCTAGTAACACGTCACGCGGTTCTAGAACGTCCATGAAGCGTCGGGAGGTTACTAGATTTCGGTATTCTTGTACATATAAGACGGTCAAGACGTGACGGCAACAATGTGTGTAATTGAACTGCGGACCGAGAGAGACGTATTGTTGAGCACGTGAGACGTTCGTTGTGACTTATAGCGTTTGTTATAGCGCGACTGTGGAAATTAAGTGTATCGCAAAGTTGTATTCAGAAAGAATAAACCAGTTTTATTTAAGACAGGACTTGTATCGGTAAAGTTTCTTCGGAAAGAATTTTTACGGAAAATAACTAACGAACGGAGGCGTAACAGTACGTATCAGTTATTCAGTAAGCTGGAGTTGTTGAA